GCATCGGGCTCCCTGCTCAGCAGGGAGTCTGTTTCTCCCTCTCCCTCTGCCCCTCCCCGCCCCCGCTTGTGCTCTCTCTCAAATAAATAAAATTTTTTTAATTATGAGTTCTGGTCCAAGGTCTTGGAAAAAAATCCATCTCCTAGGCCCCGATTTCTTCATATTTTAAGTAGGCTAAGATCCTCCATATTTTAAGTGCTATGATTATGTGAAGTAAATGGGCATTTTTATGGAGAGACATTTCCTGAATTTAAAGAAAAACCTTGTCATCCATCGAATAAAATCGCTAAAATGCACACAGTAAAACGTAATTTTCACTTTCCTTCAGCACTTCTTGTTAGCACTTGGGCATTTACTGCTGTCTCTTATGGGGGCTTTCTTCTCTCCCCCAAGCCATCTAGAGGGCAGGAACCATATCTTGAGTACTTTCTACTCCACTATAATAGCATTATTAAATGCAGTAATATTTGCTGTTCTGAATGAATGAATCTTGTAAACATTTCAGATACTTGCAGAAAACAGTGTCGAGTGTCCCTGCGGGAGTGTTGGTGATGGCTGAGAGTGCTTTGATGGCAATGACTCTTAAACTAAAGGTGACCTCGGTGCAGAAATAGAAAGGAGGACACGAGGCAGAAGACGATGTCTGTGAATACTCTCAGCCGAATGATGGCTATCTTTGCATTCCATTAAGAGTTTCTTAACATTTACTCTGCACCCAATTACTCTACAATGAAGCTGGGGAAATCATGGAGCTGAAGGAAAATTTGAGGAATAACGTTGAGAAAAACAGCTGTCAGGCATTAAGGGCTTTAATCCAGTCCCCAGTACAGTTTAATAATATGTGCCAAGTGGGTATTCAAAAATAACGATCGTAACGGCGGATGATAATGATCATCAGTACTTCGGAGGGTGCAGTGGAAGAATCGGGCCATGACGCCTTCTGTACTGTTTTTAGCTCTGTCTCTACTTGCTTCATCTCTGAGAGCTAATGACCTGGCCATCTGTGCCTCTGGTTTCCCCAGCTGCAGAATAGAGATTATATCATTGCCTACAGAAAGTCTGTGAGCTGTGCTTTAATATCCTCCAGTGAAACATCATATATAAACACAAAGCAGGCATTGAGAAGCCAAATGCTGCCAAGGGAATAAACTTTAAGACAGAGAGTATTATAAATTAAAACTACTTGAGATCCTCTAGGTAATATTCTAATGAATGGAAGTAGTTAATGCAAAGGTACTTATATTGTGTTCACTTTAGATATTGTCTTAAGTAGATGGGAACATACATTATAAATAAGTAAACAAATTCCAGAATAGGTGAATTCATTAAATTCAGTATTTTTCTATCAATGTGAAATACTAGGTGGGTCCTAAATTTCTAAAGTAGGGGCGCCTGGGTGGCTCAGTTGGTTAAGCGACTGCCTTCGGCTCAGGTCATGATC